GTTCTCCATTGCCTGTATCGCCAGTTTTGGGGTTGTAGGGCAAACTGTAGACGTTCACGCCGAAGACGAGGGGTGAGGATAGGTCCACGGTAAGGTCTACGGCAATGGAGGTTCCCGCTGTTAAGACGTCGGTGTACTGTATCAGTACTGATTGGTCTTCCGTGTGTTCCCACTGTCTGGCGTGCTGTTTTGGATGCCTGCATGAAGGGATTCTGTACATGCTGTCGCACAACATGGTGGTCTTGTCATCTTGCCGTCACCCTTGGTCTGCCAGTACGGGGGCGACCATTTGTGGTGTTGGTGTGTTGTTGGCCCGGAAACGTTGCTGTAGCCTGTAGATGGTCCGAACGTTGACCTGGAAGTGATTGGCAACGGTTTGTGCAGTGTGGCCAGCTTCAAGTCTTCCTAGCGCCTGGTTCCTCTGAGCTGTCGTGAGTTGCGGCATCCTGCTGACGTTGTAATGTGAATGTTTCAACCAGGTTTGGGGATGCATTTTATAGGGCTGGTCCTTGTGAACAGCACGTGCAGCATGAGTTGCATGAAAAAGATGGAGAACACCGTACCATCTCCGAGATCAGTTTGCTATTTTGAGACCATTTCCTGGGTTCCATTCTGAGTTTGGCGAAGGAATGTCTTTGCTCAGGTAAAGTTGGAGATGTTTATCCGTTTCTGCCAACGAAAATTCCAAACTGACGTTTCTTTTGCTGCTTAGTATATGTCGAAATCGGAGCGAATGGTTCCTGCTCGGATGGCCAGCTCTTCTGACCTCAGAAAACTGTTGGAGAACGGTGAACTGGGTCTCCCTGCACCTGAAAAACTTCCCGGTGGCGAGGAAGAAGTACCGTACTTCATCATCAGTGACGACCCCTTCCCCTGCGAACTTGGCTGATGAAACCATACTCCAGACGTCAGATGAGCAGACAACTATCGACTGTCAGGGCACGAAGAATCGTCGAGAACGCTTTCGGCATACCATCCTGCAAGTTCTAGTGCCTTCTCAGAATGCCGTGCCAAGTCAATACGTCATCCATGGACTCCATTATTCTGTGCTGTGTGATGCTCCATAACCACCTCAGCATCCGCTACCTGGGCACCAAGGAGACGGGCAGCTGAACTCTTCTTCACACAAAAAGCCACAGCCCTCTCCAGAGCCATTTCTTCAAATAAATGAAATAAATAAGGTTTAGATATTACAGTTACCTGGCCATATAACAGTTACCTGTAGGTTACTGTTAGAACAGACTGAATGGTCTGCAGGTGGACGTGAACTGCCCAAACCGACTTGTGCTGCTGAAATGAGGTCTGCAGGAGGTGGTGGAGAAGGGCTTCTGGGTCCATCTGCTTCCTGGTGAACTTTAACAGCAGCAGTAACGGTAGTAACTCCTCAAGACCCAGGTTGAGGACTGTCTGTAGTATCATCAACATCATCATCATCATCAGAAAGAGGTAGATTAGCTGGACGCTTGGATCGTCTCCCTCTTTTAAGTGCCATCTTCTTTCCTGTAGAAGTACCTGAGAACTTCTTCGTTGGCATGTTGTGTCTCCTTGTCTTGATCACACAAAGCTGCGTACACTTTGATTTCTTTGAGAAATTTCTTGATCGTGTTGTGTTCGTGGTGGAGTCGTGTCCAGAAGATGAAGCACGATCGACACAAACACTATATGATATCTAATTTATACAATGACTACGACCATATCACGATTTTTACAAATTTAAAACAGGTTTTAAATTTGAATATTCGTGATGGGCTAAGAACACGATCAACACAATCACTGTATGCTCACAACACAATCACAACACGGATGCCTGTACGATGCCTAAATTATGCATTCGTACAGCGATCGTGCTCTAGTGTGAATTGGGCTTAAGAATCCTTCGCTGACAGGTTTTTATAATTTACCTTTATTTGTTGTGAAATTATTTCTTGTTTTAGTCACGATATGGCTGAAATATTGCTGATGTGACTTAAAATCTTAACTCACTAACTCACTCACTCACTACAGCAAGAAACGAGCTACATGTATGATGTACCTAAAGGAATGACAGAATCAGTCTCTGTTCAGAGCATGAAATATGTATTCATTCAAAAACATCTAAAAGAGACCGATTCAAAGGTTCTAGTAACTTTAATTAAGTGCCACGCCGATGTCCGGGAAAGTGAATGGGTGTTGTTTCGATTTATGAAACTTTTTACTAACTTTCATTTACTTCGTACTTTGAGGTATTTCCTTTCGCTCTGTAACTGCCAGCGCTAAATTAGAAAGTGGTTCAAAACCACAACCCGTGAAGATCCGGGTTAGAATCCGGGTCTTCAGCAAGCCGTGCTTGTCGTGTGAGGCGACTAACGGGATCGGGTGGTCAGGCTTGGTTGACACATGTCATCGTATCCCAACTGCGTAGATCGATGCTCATGATGCTGATCACTCAGTCTGGATTGTCCGATCCAGACTCAATTATATACAGACCGCCGCAACATAGCTGGAGTGAGTGAGTTTAGTTTTACGCCACACTCAGCAATATTCCAGCTATATGGCAGCTGTCTGTAAATAATCGAGTCTAGACCAGACAATCCAGTGATCAACAGCATGAGCATCGATCTGCGCAATTGGTGTCAACGAAGTCAGCGAGCCTGACCACCCGATCCCGTTAGTCGCCTCTTACGACAAGCATAGTCGCCTTTTGTGGCAAGCATGGGTTGCTGAATTCCTTTTCTACCCCGGATCTTCACGGGTCGCAACATATACTGAGTCAAAAAAGAAACTTCACATTCTTTCTTCAGGGCACTATAAAAGAACAAGAGATGGTAAGATGGTTAAATTGTTATTATTTCATTGCTGAGATCTGTGTGGTGTACTCGATACACTGACAGTGCCATAATCAGTTCCATTAGGCTACGCCGCCGTTCCAAAACATGGGTATACAGAATGTCAAGTCACAAGAATAAAAATGCGAAATTTCTCAGTTCAATATCGTGTATGGCCGCCCCGCGCATGCACCACCGCCAAACACCGTCTCCTCATCGACTGCCTGATGCTTGTGAACACGTGGTTGGGGATTCTGCACCATTGTTCTTGCAAGGCAGCGCCAAGTTCCTGCAAATTCTGAGGTTGGTTCCTAAGACCACGAAGCCTTCTCCCAAGTGCATCCCAAACGTGCTCTATTGGATTAAGGTCAGGGGACTTCGATGGCCAGTCCATGACGTTGATCCCAGCGTTTTGAAGGAAATTTCGTGTCAAAATCGCGGTATGCGGCCGAGCATTATCATGCTGGAACTGTAGACCTGGGCCATAAGCCGCCATGAAAGGAACGAGTTCAGGGGTGAGCACCTGGTCGCAGTCAGCAGCAGCTGTGAGGTTTCCACGGATGACCAGAAGTCGATCACGTGATCGTCATTTGCACGACGAATGGATGGGTTTGAGTGGGTTTTGCTGACGTTTTTCCAGAGTCGAAAGATAGGGATCCCATTTCGGATACATAGATGTATCATCAGAGAAAAATTATTCATTGTTTTTCAAATTACATTTTGTGAAGTTTCTTTTTTGACTCAGTATATCTGGAACATTGCTTTGTGCGGCAATAAACAACCAACAAACAAAACTAATCAAACTTTTTAATTAAAGTGATTTACGGTGATTTGATGCGTCTATTTGCCGACCACCAGTTTATTTTCTAGAAACTTTTAAAAGTAACGCTTACAGAGTATAAATTTCACCTGTCGACGTTAACATGATTACTTTTCATTGGGAATGCCCGAATGGAAAAAATCTCAAAGATCTGAACGATCTCGTGTGGATCGACAATGTCACACAATAAATCGACATTTCACAAGGTTATTTGCAAATTCGCACTTCCGAAAACTATATACTGAAATATATATACACTAAACGCCAAAAGAAACGTTACCCTCCTACCTTTATGAATTACTGAAAAACTATCAAAGATATGTCAGAAGGTATTAGTTTACGAGAAAGCTTAAAGGTTACATGCAACCAAAAAATCAAACATAATTAAAACACAATTATCACTTATTCATGACATATAATATACATCGCTGGTTATGAAAAAACATATAAACAAAATTATAAGCGTACAATCGCAAATCAAAAGTGCAATATTGTGCACTCAAGTGTAACGGCTGGTTCATTTGCAGATGCTCACACGGCTCATTGTGTGTGTATATATAGTGATGTTGGCTTTTTGTTAATACATGCTCATTTTTGTGTATACCATTTTGCAATCAACAGACATCATAACCTGTCATGTGTTCAAGTATCACACCTGCCTGTCTGTGTAATTACATAATGTGACAGTGACCGAACTCGGGCCATAAATCAATGCGTTTTGTTTATGGTGTATAGCCTGATAGGTGTTAAGTTCAAATTGCATGTGGTCAGTGATCGCAGTTGTGTATTGAATATTGCCATTAGCAGACAGGCAGGCAGACACACAGGTGTCAATAAAACAAGACATTGAGTTATGTCTGTGACAACGACATATCTATATCACAGTTAGAAATTCTGTCAACGCTAAATAATGACATTGCTTTTAAGTATCGAACTGAGAAAGTGACTCGGTAAGAAGAACGTGTGGTGAAATAGACAAATGAAATCATATAAACAGTTTATTTACTGTCATAACATATAAAAAGCTCGCGCCTGTGAGATATCAACAAAACATTGGGAAAATAGCTCACACCAAAGCCTTCACCGAGTATTCACCGGACAGCCCGCTTCCAAGTTGCGCGAACCTATTTAACTGCGCACGTGCTATGAGCGCAGCCCAGCTGTTGAAACCAGTTTTCCCCCGAAAAGTCGGGGGAAAATTAGTGAATCGTTTGAACTCCGATTTCGCGCGGTTTTTTTTCATCGCGTTATTTTTCAACTTTATAAGTTGAATTTGCATTTTTGATGATTTGTTTCGGTAAGTCCATACCGAAAGGTATCAGAATCTGCAAAGTTGTGTTTTACGTTGCATGTGACCTTTAACAACACAGCTTTATGCAAATCACGAATTCTCAAATGCATTCATATTAAGGTGAAATGCATCTATTTTAGAAGAGTTAAATTGTCCTATATTCGTCCATGCCGAAATAAACTAATAACAGTGATTTAGATGTCCAAAGGAAAGGTTAAAATAAAATTCTGCTTTGGGACCATGATAAACCATTTAAAGTCACCATTTTTCAACTATTAAAACAAGAAACAACTGTTGTAGAGTGTGTAAAACTGTAAAATAATCATTCCTATGATTTCAGGCTTTTAAAACATTTTATGCTGATTTGTATTAGTGAAAACAAGTAAAACGTGTCTTTGATATTGTGAAAAAAGGTTTAGGAACATCTAAAATCATCTTTGTTAACATTTTTGCTTTGCAAAGTAACATTTTTCTATTTTCTGTTTACATATAGCAATATCAATCGCCAAAACGCAGCAACATTCAAGCAGTATTTGCATCCATTTCACATGTAGAATCATTCTATAGGGTATGAAGAGAGCCTAGACAACATGATATGATACACAAGTACGAGAAATATGCCACGATTAACAGCTGAAGGGAGAGAAAGAGCCATTGGGATGGTACAGATGGGGTCGACATACAATGCTGTTGCCAACGCCCTCGGATGCCACTGTATCACGGTTATAAGACTTATTCAGGGCTTCAGACAGACTAGGGTCACCGTAAACAGACCAAGAAGTGGACGTCCACGTATCACAACGCCAGCTGAAGATAGGTACCTCCGTCATTAAGAAAGGAGGGTAACGTTTCTTTTGGCGTTTAGTGTATGTATATTAAAATACCAAAGGTTCAAGTCCACATAAAACTGTCGAGTCGGCCAACCTAGCAATGTACTCCTAGTCCTTGCACACGCGAAACATTTAATACAGCGGGTAATCGGGGATTAGACCTGATACTTATGACATCCAATTACCTCGGTGAGTCTCAAACCTACCAATGAACGCTGCCAGCAAGACGGTCGTTAACCCCTTTACTGTAGGCATACTTGAACTGTACGTAGCCGGAGATATATCAGATGTGTCGGCCAGTTGTTGTCTACCTCTTGATGTATCTGAAGTAGAAACTTGGTTGTCAGTTGAAATTATCTCTACCGAAACGAACAGCTAATTACTAGTATATAGTGTGTAAGTTTATTTCAATATCGTATTGACGTTATTATAGAAATATACATAGGCTGTTGACATTAGTAAACCAGCGTGAAAAAACTGCCCCATTTTTTAAATGAATTAACACTTGAAGATCAACATATTAGGATCTATATAATTCTGTAGTATAAGTCAAGAACCTTTCGGCTATTTTGTGACTGCGTAAGTACATTAGGCATGCATGTTAAGATTTATACTCGCCATAACGTTTCCAGCAATTAAATATAACGTGAAATTGTCCCTTGTTGTTGTGTTTTTATTTTAAAAAGTCTCTATTCCGTACCGTCTTCCATGTATTATGGACAAACAACGTGTGTAATTTGATTATTTCGAAAAACATTATGAAGTTACGTAGAAATGCTGTGTATAAGGTTATACTAGTAATGTGACTATTGTTTAGAATACCACCAATACTATAATTTCAAGCAATGTGTTTAAGGCCAATATACGGACATGAACAGAAATTTCTGTTTTCTCTTATTTTCCCTCTTGTACATTCTATACTCTCTTAGGAACGTCAGATGCCTATGGTGGATTTCAATCGAGCCCCGATTATTTCTATGTTTGTTAGAACCCTACACATGCTCGACTGATTTACCATAACCTTAAACAATCAGTCCTGTTAGCCGATGACACGACACTGTTAAATAACACTCCGTCTGGGCTGCAGAATTCACTTCATATTGTTTCAGAATATGCTTCCAGATGGCGCCTAACATACAATGCATCGAAAAGCACTGTTGTAGTTTTTCAGAAAGGGAAACAATCTTGTCCTGAGCTCTCATTCTCCTTTTGCGACACCTCTATTAATGTAAGTCCATCAGTAAAATATGGTGGTATTCTACTCTTATCAGATGTGTCTTGTAAAGATAGAGTTTTCGCTAACTGTCAAAAGGCCAGGCAAACCATAAATTCTTTGCGCTCATTGGGTCTTAACAGTACTGACTTACATCCAGTTACATGTGTTAATATATGGAAAAGAATGGTTTTACCTACAAGTTTCTATGGTTGTGAAACCATGCCTACGCTATATGGCAAAAACATTGATCTGGTGGAAAATGCCCAACGATATTTCGCTAAATGTATTCAAGGGTTCAACAGACGTATGCCAACAGATTCTGTATGTGCCAACCTAGGTCTCTGGACAATGGTTGGGCACATTGACAAGTGTAGATTATTATTCCTTGGAAGATTATGTAATAACGCTTGTAATTCATCAACGAAAACTCTGTTTTGTTCATTTTTAGCACTCACTGTTCACTTGAATATTAGCTCACGCAGTATTTGCAACACTCTGTTATGTACAGCACGGAAGTATAATCTACTGGACTATGTATTAACCTACGTGCAAACTGGTATTTTTCCGTCAAAGACAATTTGGCGCAGAATAGTTATAAGTTGTATCTTCTCTTATGAAGAAGCTCAATGGAAATTGAGACTCTCCATTAGAGAGGATATGTCCAGATATGCTATAATCCATCAAACACTGAATCTACATAGGCTTTACACTCTAATGTATCTTTACCCAGAATATAAAAACCATATACAACTTGCTGTACTAGTCGGTTCTAAAGCCAAATTATCAAAAGAATGTATGCTTTGTAATAAGTACTGCTATGACCACGATGCCCACATCATTTTGCACTGTGAATCTGTAATGAGACAAAGAAACAACTTTTATATGACGCTACTTGACCTACTGGACGTAGAATTATATGTATTAATTGAAATGCTTGATGATGAAGATGCCCTTGTACTGTTTTGTGGTGCAAAACTTCACATCCGTGGCCTTCATGAAACAGCATGGCAAACCATCATACTACATTTTTCGAACTATATCTATTCTTTAAAGGATTCCTTGATGTATACATTCTGAACTATCATTCTTGTAAATAACCGTGCTTTGTACATATCATATGTAGATATATGTAACTGACTGATGCTTGTTTATGTAATCTTCGAATATATTTTTGGAGGAAATAAAGACATTCATTCATTCATTCATTCATTCATCACACTTTCCTCTTACAATAAGCTGATATGCTAAAAGACCTGGAATAGTGTTCAAAGCAGCGGTAAACCCAACCCAATTTAAATGTTTTAAGTATCTGTTTTTTCATGGATGTATACTCCAAATTATTTTCCAAAGGCTATCTCTTGGAGGTAAGTGCCCTTTCAAAACTCATGAAACGAAATCTTTCTTACAACTTCAGGAAATGTATTCACAGCATCTGGACATTCCGACCTGATGCCTGGATTAAGCACATTTGTAAGATACACACACTATACGTTCATCCTCGAAACGTTTGGTCAAGTTTGGGCATAACTTGGAGCATATTCTACGTCAGACTCTTGCATATTTTACTTGGACCGTGAATGACTGTTTGCCCTGTCTGACAAGCCCAGTTAATGTCCTCTGAACCCGTGTTCCTCCCTCAGGACCTCTTGCTCTTCCTCCAGTGACACCTTCCATCATGATATCTCTCCAGTCGTCTCTATCAGACATGTTGTCAAGTCTAACTAATGTGGCATCAATTGCCTCATTGAAACTGTGAAACAAGGCCAGAACACTTTGGTCTATTTGGACAGACTATTTAGGAATACCACGTAAAAGTTGAAAAACAAAAAATACTGACTGCTTATACATATTGATATATTCCTTCGCTTGCCATGGTTGTCCCAAATAGAAGACCTATTGTGTTGATAAGACATCAGTTGAATCGTGGACACTGCCCTTCCATAATGAGGTAGCTATCATCAACCAGAAACTATTACTGGAAGTAGCATGTGTTGCTGCTAGTATATATGTTACAGTCAGATTGTGAAATCTAAAAAATCTAAAACTTTCAGTCATTTCGTGAAATAACTAAGAGTGTCAGCCATTCAACTATCCCTACTGCTCGTTCTCTTTCTTCCTTGGTTAACCTTGGCATTCTCTGTGTGTGACTTTATGTGCAGTGATATTGCAGTGTAGGACAGGCCATTTATGCTGATTTTTTCGCACGATCTTTCCCATGTACCCTCTTAAGAGATGTGTTTCGTGTTTCTGAGAGTAGGGGCCACAAAAAATGCATTTTGGCGATTTGGTTCGTGCATTGGCAATCGTTACCAAGCACATTCACATCAAATTATTTATATAGCCAATAGCGAAATGGCTGATCCTCCTAGTCATTTCACGAAATGACTGAAATTTTTAGTCATTTCACGAAATGACTGATTTCACAATCTGACTGTAACATACAGTCCTCTCAACCTAATCAGCGATGCTTAAGTACACCATCACTGGTGTATTTTTATGAAATTTAATGTTTATATAACAGCAAGTTCAACCCTATGAGAAGAGCAGTGTTTCGTTACAAGATGCAACGTTTTATCAACCTGTTCTCTCCTATCCTGCATTACCCGTGAAGATCCGGGTTAGAATTGGTCTTCAGTAACCCAACAACCAACCTATTTTGCATCATGACTATATCAGTCAAAACAAGACCCAACTAAACTTGACATTCGATCAAATGACCTTATATGCAGTTGGTGACTATTTAAAACATTGGACGGTTGTGTACAGCGATGCGTTTTGGATGTAATGGCAAAACAAAGACGTTGGCTGCCATGAACACAGATAAAACATTTGTCAACAAATTTAATCAATACATATGACACAGTGACCATACATAAATTGTCACAAGATTGAATGCACAATCCAATAACCATATTTGTTCCTCCCTGACATTCCGCGAAACATCACAAGATTATGTGTTTACCTAACTGAGAACATAAGAACAGACTTTGTTACATTTTTCACTTCATGTAATAAATTTTATTTTAAAACATCCGTAGGAGCAAGCGTGATGAAAGTTATACAAATACTTACTGCAAAGTTATGCAAACAACGGCCAAGTTAAATCGCTCCGATAATCCTGACATGAATTCAAGTTTCAAAGTTTTCCACAGAAAAAAGTGGGAAAACTATGCCCGAGTTTACTAAACATTATTATTTGTTATAATTCTGAGCATACTTGCCAATTATGGCAGTACGTGATCATTTAAGATAGTCACTTGGATATCACTATATCAACAACATACCTGCGTTGCATGAACTGAAGTTAGTTTAGAGATAGGACCATGAACGGTGTGAGATTCAAATCACACCGTTTGTTTACGTAACAGCTTACATGTTTTCTTTTCGAGTTATTGTTTACAAACACTGGATTTGGAAGCTGATTGTATCAGCTCTTGTTTAACCTACAACACCAACATGACAAGGTAACCAACAAAGTAATATGTTGTATTTGCCAGTGGCAAATTTACTTCAGATCAATATCCATACCATATATAGTATGACCAGAAATTATTGAGAATTTTAGGAATATGTTTAATTGGATTTCTAGTATAAACAACCTTGACCAGCTATCAAGTGCTTGGTTTCATTCAAGAGAGACAACTCCGTTAATCCTTTTTCATTTGTCTGTGAAGAGTTATCCCCCTTTGTTTACTTGCTAGCAGACGACATTTTCAGTGATCCTCAATATGGATGATTTAGAGAAGAGGAAGTTGATTTTAGAGTATTATAACAAGGACATCAGATCAGCTAAAGTGATTTCAAGTAGAACAGGCATCCCTCTGTCCACTGGTTATTGTGTTTTGAAAAATATTGCAAATGGATATGGCATTGAGCACCAGGGAGGCGCAGGTAGGCCCAGAAAATTGACTGTTGGTGACAGGAGGCGGCTTGGTATTCTTGTTTCTAAAAACAAACGAAGGAGTTTAGAAAACTTAAGGCTGGATATGATTGATAGAGGAACTGTGGCTGTCTGTAAGGAGACAATTAGAACTGAGCTGCATGCAATGGGTTGGCAGAAAAGTCGAGGAATTCCATCACCGATCATGAACCTGAACAAAAGGAGCGAAGGTTGAACTGGTGCTTACAGCATAGAACTTTTAACTGGGACAATGTGATTTTCTCAGATGAAAGTTCTGTGTGGCTGTTTCATATTACACTGAAATTCTGGACCAAACAAACTGAAAAACCTTTGTATCAGCGCCCAAAGTACAGTCCGAAATTTACCGTGTGGGGTGGCATATCTGTGTTAGGGGCAACGCCCCTCTGTGTATTTGAAGGGAATATGAACAGTGAGCGGTACACAGATATTCTCGAGGGACATTTACTTCCAACTGCTCACGTGTTCTATGGAATTTTTTGATTTTCCAGCACGCATTCACAGGCCTGGTTTCGGACCCAAAATATGACATTATTAGATTGGCCAAGCTATAGCCCTGACCTAAATCCAATAGAAACTGTTTGGTGACTTATGAAGGAAAGTGTCAATAAGAAAAATCTGACAAATATTGCTGAAATGAAAGAAGAGGTGGTCCGATATTTGGACAGCATGGACCACGACATTCTAACTTCTTTGATCAGTAGTATGCCCCGCCGCATTGAAGTCTGCATTGCTGCCCATGGTGACTTGACAAATACTAACTTGTCACCTGTCTTTGAACCTGGAGTTATGTTCTGCTAATATTCACATTTAATACGTGAGTAAAGAGTGAAAAAAATATAAAAAATTACAATCTTAAATTCTCAATAATTTCTGGTTGTACTGTATACTGAGACACAATAACTATTTTTTCCAAGTAATTGAAATCTGTACGCCTTTCAAAACAACATATATTCAAAGCGTTCGCATGACAGGCCCGAAGTCCTGGCACAAAGTGCCAATCCCATTTCTGGTCTCCCTGGCGTGATATTTCTTAAATATCGCCAAAAACGACATAAAACCATACTCACTCACTCACTTTAATCTTATATATTGTGCTTACGTTTCACTTTATTTGGGGATATTTTAGCCTGAAGTTCACGGGTCACCTTTTTCGCGTAATCATGTTATAATTCTACCAGGGCTGTGGTAGCGATGTTACATGCAAGTTCAGACAACTCCCTTTGCTGATTTCACATGTTGAAAAAAACCTGCCTAATTAGCATTTTTAATACCAGCCCATTTATAGATTGAAAAAAGCCGAAGCTGAATATAATACCAGCCCATTTAACTGAGACCGAATTTTCTCTAGACCGTTTTCGAGGGGCCGTTTTTCTCTTGCGCGGGAGGCCGTCTTCGGTCTGTTTTCACTTCCGATTGAAGGATGGGAACAATATGGTTTATGGATTGCCAACTTCTTTACAGCAATAAAGACGCTGCAATCCTTACATATTGTTATTTATGGTATGCTGTTTCTTAACAATAGTATTTTATATAAATAAATGCAGAAAAGGCTTTGGATATCAGCAATCAGATAACTGGTTTCCAAACACACCAGTCGTCCTATATGCAAACATAACTCGTTCATAAGATAGGCCTATAATTAGATGGGTCTGAATCATCCTTGCTAGGGTCTGGTTCAAGGGGAAAGACTGGCGCCATACAAAGAAAGGTGGAAATGTACCTTCTTTTTCCAGTTATTTCTTAAAGTATTGCAAAACAGTATTCAGGCTAATGCTTCAAGGGCTGAAGTGAATACTATCGGCGTGGCCAAGGACCACCGTTTCAGAGACAAATAGATAAATCGTCGTCTCTACCTGCAGCAAAAGACTATTCTTTCCGTAATTCAGGAAGATAAATTGATGAAGACGAATGTTCAGCTGAAGCTTCTCCAAGTATATGTGATTTTCTGAATTATCTTCTATGAAATGACTTCTTCCTTCAGATGATGCCAACTAGATCTTGAGCCTTCGTTGCGACTTCTTTTGATCATGTTAGACACCTTTATTGGAGTTGCACAGGAAATGATACTGGAGACATGAGAACTCCATGAATGACGATAAATTTGTGTGAAAGTACGTGGTGCCTTGGCATTAGTTGTTGTGACGTCATTTGACTCATGTGGATATGATTTGGGCGAAAATGCTTCTCGTCTTTCTTCAAAACGTGTCTGGCCTCTTTGCTATCTCTTTCAAACAATGAATGCTTATGAATGTGTGAATTTGCTGAACGAACGAAATGGTGATTGGGATAGTAAGTTTATTTGTGAAGACTGACTGACTGAGTTTTGGTTTTACGCCGCTTTTAGCAATATTCTAGCAACATCACGGCGGGGGACTCCAGAAATCGGCTTCACACATTGTACCCATGTGGGGATTTGAACCCGGGTCCTCGGCGTGACGAGCCAACGCTTTAACCACTAGGCTACCCCACCGCCCCTATTTGTGAAGAAGCAAGAATATGAATTTCAAACACATTTCACGGACCTAACCCAGGCGATGTCTACTTGGCATTCAACAGACGTGCAAGTAATTCGGGATGTATGGGCATCGACTGCAGAATATGGCACAGTTGCGGCTGAAGTTGCAGCTAACATAAACAAAACAGGTGGCTTCTGTTAAAGAAGTATTTTATCAAGTGTTACTTCTTGTGTTAACGTTTCCAGACAATACACAACTCCAGGTGTTTTATTTACATTGTACACCACTATTCCACTTGACAGATTAAGGGAAATGCCTCATGCCTTTTATCTTTGGGGCTTTCGTAACAAAACTTGGTAACCATAGAAACAGTTAAATATCAACCTTTAGAGGTTCATGAAAATTCGCATATAGGTTTTTCCATTTTAAAATCAACGCTATCCACAAAGTAGTATAACAAGGGGGGTGACTTTAACTTCCCAGTTGTTATTCTTTCCTTTAAGTCAAGTAATGTTCCAGCATTTCCAACCTTTGGGGGTAACTTTTACCACCTTTTCAGGTGTAATCGAGCATGCTCTCCGCATCCTCATGCTAGTTCGATAAACTATTTGAACAACGAGATCTTTATGAACTTCAGTTTTTGTCAACCAAACAGATTGTCTTTTCCGTACTTGCATATTTCTTGAAATGAACGAAGTTAAGTTCTCATTCATATGTAACCTCTTGTCATAATTTCTTACCAGTTAAACGTATCGCTCAAATCGTTATTTATGAAGTTCCTGTTGGATGGCTTACCCAGCTCATCTTCAAAATAAGTAGCCCCAGATCGTATTTGGCACTTTTAATACTTTTATTCGTCAAAATACAAACAACCCACTAAACGTGTACAAATGTTGGAGAGGAGGAGTTCGTGATTTATAACAGGTTTCGTCCCATGCTCTGTCTACAATTGCACTAACAAGTATACCTATCGATATATTGAACATGTACTTTGTGTTTAAGATGACCATGATAACACTACACTGAATTGCGTCAGCTCATTGTCAACATTTACATGAGTGTCATTCTCATCGATGTATTGATACCTCGATCAAAACCTCTTGTGACGAATCTTCGTTAAGAATATTAAACTAGAGAGTAATGATTACATCTGAGAAAATAAAGAATCCTAATGTAATATTTTTTGAAAGTTTCTGAAATTAAGAGAAAATACACTGGTGGAACCAGAAAGGGTATTATCTGCTCGACCGTTTCTGAAGGTTCCTACATGATTTTGTTTGTTTGTTTAACTCGGCAATTTTCAAACTATATGACGGCAGTCTATTAATACGCAAGTTTGGAACAGACAATCCAGTGATTGACAAAATGACCACCGATCAAAGCAATTGGGATACGATGACCAAGGCAAGGGGTGCTAACTTATCCTTAGTTTGTCTAATGTGTATGTAATGTGATACTTGTCTTTAACATGGATTTATTTGTATGACAATATTATGTCAGTGATGAAATGAGGCAATAGGGATACAGACATGTGTCAACCACGTAAGCGAGCCTGACCACCCGATCCCTTAGTTGCCTCTTACAAACATGGGTTGCTGAAAACCAATTCTACGTCGGATCTTCAAATTCCCCTTCTTTGTGGCGTGATGCTCTTATCGCTTCGGTAAATGAACATGGATGAGATCATACAGATCCTTCAAAGTATCGACCAATTTCATTGACGTGGTGCCTTCGCAAAATCATGGAACAAATAATGAATTATCGATAAGTTTGTTTGATAGTTAGAATCTAGCAATTTTACTGCAATTACAAAAGCTGGTGTCCATAAAAAAGATCCATCAATCATTAGGTTCGTGTTGCATGTGTTTATTTTACAATCGCAAGTGATCATCTCCCATGATTTTTCATGAAAATGAATTGATTAATAAATTTAGATGTACTTTATACATGTAAGTATTTCGTGGAGTGGAAACATATGATTATTATCTGAAAGGGTGCTCTGAGTGGGATGGAAGTAAAAATTTGATTTTTAACATTTTTGTGCTTTAATAACGTAAAAAATATGGAGACCAAAATGTGTGTGCTTTGGGTCGTAACGACCAGCAGCAAATATTTCTTAAGAGTGCGAAAATATACTAGCCACATAAAGAAACTGTGCATTATCAAAATGTTATCCCAGTTGATAAGTACGATAACAATGTCAAAGGTACATATAAACTTTAATGGAGGGATCATGTGATCATAACAAGTCGGGAGAATTTCAACTGAAAAGTCAATCACAATGACGTCACGAGTCCACAAGCGGGACAGGGGTCAACCGACCATCTCACAAGCTCAATAACGGGTATGTCCACCATCGGCATTGAGAACAGCAGTGCATCGACGACGCATAGAGCCTATCAAACGTGCAAGGAAGGCTTGTGGGATGTCACGCCAGATTCTCTCAAATTCTGTTGCAAGGCCAAGGACGTTATCTGGCGGATGAGGAAGACGGCGTAGACGTCAATCCATCTCGTCCCAAACATGCTCTATCGGGGAGAGATCCGGTGAATTTGCAGGCCAAGGCAGTAAGTCAACGTTGTGGTGTTGCAAAAAAATCCATAGCAACCCTTGCCGTATGAGGGCGGGCATTGTCCTGTTGGAATGTTAACCCAGGGCCATGACGTTGCAGGAAAGGAATTGCCACAGCTCGAAGAATCTGATCCCTGTAGCCCACACCAGTTAAGTTGCCCTGAACAATCACCAAAGAGTTCTTTGGCGTGCTGTTATTTCACCCAAAATCATCACGGAACCACCACCAAAGCGATTCCTCTCCAAGACACAGGCCTGTGCATAACGTTCTCCCACGCGTCTATAGGCACGTTGACGTCCATCACTATGGGAAATGTTAAACCTGGACTCATCTGTAAAAACAACATTTCCCCACCAAAACAAGGATCTGCGGACATGATTTCGGCACCACATTCGGCGAGCTTGTCGATGACGTTGTGTCAGGATAGGCCGTATGACGGGACGTCGTGGTCTGATCCCGTGATGACGTAAACGTTGTCGAACTGTGTTGGGGTGGATACGGCGAAGTCCTGGGATGGTTCGGGCAGTCATCACTGCAGTCTGAAACCTGTTGCGAAGATGGGTCACCCTTATCCATATGTCCTGTCTTGGCGTTGTTACACGTGGACGTCCAGAACGTGGCCGATCGATGACGTCATTTGTGTTCTGGTAGCGTCTCACCAGTGCAGAAATGGTGTTCCGGTGGCAGTGGAAATGTGCAGCCACTTGTCTTTGAGTCATTCCCCCACGGACCATCCCAATGGCCTCCTGACGCTGTGCAGACGTGAGCCTTGGCATGCTATGCGTTTCAATAGCCGTTTAATTTTTTGAACGATCGCAAGGGCAGGGGTTGAGCTTTCCAAAGTGACAGTATTGTGTGGCATTCATTTGCTCTGTTTCTGTTTCCCGGAATGCACGTGCAACAACGTATTGCACGTCTCAAGGACGAACCCACTGACGTCACGGAACGTGGCACGTGCATGCATGTTGGATACATGTCACTAATCTCTGAGTTTAAATCCTTATGTTTCTACACAGGTTTGATAAATTTAGATTTTAAATATTTGTATGCAGTTTCTTTATGTGCCTAGTATAGTTTTGCCGCTTTTATTGTTGAATAGTATCAGACTGTTATTAAATTTAATTACCGTGTCCTTGAAAGCAAGATAAAATACCCTAACCATCATGTATTTAACGGGTTGTCACGTGATCTAACCAATTGGTAGTAATTTTAACGGTACTCACATAACTGTAAAGGGGAGGGGTGCTATGTATGCTATAAACTGGTACATTGATGCAATGTAAATATGCAGTCTCCACAGCTACCAAAACACGTGTTACTGTGCTGACAAAAGTAAACATTTTGCACGTACATAGCAGACCGTCTGATGCAATGCCGCTCAGGTTAATAGCATACCAGTATCACGTTAAGGGTTGGTGCCCGATGAAAATTGCTCCTATCCAAACAGAAGTAAGCAATTGAAGATGTCCTGCAAGATCGATATTGATCAACATATCGATAATACGAACACGTGCTATCATGCTGGGTTTTATATACCTTTTGTAATATAACATCTCTGCACACTAATAGTTCTTTTGTCAACTATCGTTAATCCGTTCGTATTTATCACTAAACATTTCACTTTAAGTATTTAAACAGTTTCGGAAACCATGCACCTTATGAACACTAAAGTAAATTATTCAGCAAAGGAAATAAAAACTATGTGAACTTCAAATGGACGTCTAAAATATATATAAGCCTAAACACAACCCTTTGAGAAATTTATGTCTGCTGTGCTAAATACATTCGTGTTTAGGACAAAACATTTAGCTTTAACTGCCAAAAGAGCTCCCAAAAATTTAAATGAAGGTGAACCAGAAAACTATGTAGAGTATTTCATAAATACCTGGAGCAAACGGAATCAAGTTCCCTAAACTGAACCCTGCTTATGTATACCACCCTCTTTTACAGCAATAGGGGCGGTGGGGTAGCCTAATGGTTAATGCGACTGTTCGTGACGCTGAAGACGCTGGTTCGATTCCCCACACGGGTACAATATGCGAAGCCCATTTCTGGTGGTGTCCCCGCCGTGATATTGCTGGGATATTGCTAACAGTGCCGTAAGCCTATACTCACTGACTCACTCTATTACAACACATTTAAAAACTGGCTCACCGGTAGTTTGAGTTCTGACAAGTTGACAAAAACGGGTATTTTTAGGAAACTAATGTTTGGAAATATGGGGAAACTATTAGGATTTTCAACAGATTCCGTATTACGTCGTATCCGAACGTTTTAAAGCTTGGAACTATTATTATCCCCCGCCGCGGGTTT